ATGCCTTTGATGAATTACCTCCTGATTTTACTGTTTAAAATAAAGACAGGCTTTTGAAGGACTTCTCTGGGCTGTGCAGAGTGGTGGCCAGAGGTGGAGCTACATTGGCTCTGCACTATTGAAATCACTAGAACAGTTCATAGAAAAGAGTGTTAGCAGCATCTAGACCAGCCGCTGCCTTTGCAGGCGAGGAAGCTGAGGGCCAGGAAATGGAGGGCTTGCCCAGGGTCACACAGTGGGTCAGGGCAGCGATGCCGCCAGTGCTGGAACCAGCAGGTTCGTAGTTCTGTCATTTCCCAGGAAGGTCAACCTTCTCAGGAATCCTTTTGCTTCTAGGTTGAATTATTTTTAGCATTTGTAGAAAATTCAGCAACAGTGTATTTGATGTTTAAATGAATGTAAAATGCATGTTTCTATCCCCTAAAAACAAATTTCAGGACTCATCCATTCAAGCTCGTTTTATGTGGTACAGGTAAAATTCAAAGATAAATTTTTTTCCTGAATAACTTTGTCCTGAATTTTATTAAGTGTTTTTGTGTTTGGATATGAGATAATGGAAATAAGGACATAAATTTACTAATTTTATACCTCAAGGACTAAAAAAAAAAAAACAAAACCAGTAATTTACTCTTCCATTTATCATTTTAAAAAGTAGATTTAAATTAGGCTTCCCTAAGTGGTTTTTCTGTTTCTGTGCCCATGTCCTGTTCATGTACCTGTGCAACTGAACATTCTCCTCCAGCTTGGTGTGGAGAGAGGGGAGGGGAGGTAGAGCCAGTGTAGGCATAGCTGTGAGGAGTAGCCTCAGCGGGATGGGGAGGGTTAGGGGAAGTGGGGAACACTCCAGGGAGTTGGTAGCTATTAGTGAGTGTAGCTTTATCTAGCGCCAATCTAAAATGCTCTCCGAGGTATCGTTTCCAAATGTTTAGGAGCAGTTTTGAAGCTTGCTCGCTCTTCTGTTAAGCAAATAAAGGCTTAGGGTCAAGCTAAAAGAACAGCTAATCAGCTTATGTTCACTGGTGGCAAATTTCGTTGTGATTGTAATTCTCATATGAAGTTGTTTTTGCCCTGGGCTGTGGTCTCACCCTGCTTGATAGAATACAAGATCTGCTGTGGGTTCCCTGTTGGAGGATTTTAATCTCCTCTTTCAAGTGCTAGTTCGAGGAAGATCTTAGGAAACATGGGTTGAGGATATTTTTAATTTATTAACTCACAGACATGAGTTTCCCCTTTTAAGCAAGTCTAGGAGAGAAATCAAATTTAAGCATGAAGATAGTGGAAAGAGCATGGGCTCTGGAGCCAGACCTGGGTTTGCATCCTACCTCTGGCAATTAAGGGTACAAGGACATTTGGACCAATTATGTAAGCTTCGTTATGATATTGCATCTCATTTGTAAATTACAGGGATTGATGCCTTCCAAAGGTGTTGTGAGGAATAACTGAAATACATACAAGAGACATCAAATCATTACCAAGTTAGTTCACTTCTTCCAGATCCATACTAGAGACATTAAGCAGAGTCTGTTACATGCAGGACTCCGGGCTAGATATTTGGGAGAGGCTGGATCAGAGAAGAATGAGACCTATATTCAGCTCCAAAGAGCTTACAGTTAAGTGGGGAAAATATGGCATGCATACAAACTGCAGTCCGCAAGCTCTGGCCACACTGGCCTCTGTTGTTCCTGGAACATCCAGTCATGCTTCCGCCTCAGCGCTTGCTCTCCTCCCCCTGGAACTCCTGTCTCCTTTACCTCCTTGGGATCTTTACTCGAGGATCCTCCTGTTTAAAATGAACTCCCTGCTGCCAGTATCCCTGTCCCTCTTCCCGGCTTGCTTTTCCCCCAACAAACTGTGTGTGCACGCGCGTGTGCACGTGTGTACGTGTGTGTGCACATGTGTATTTTCTCTTGGTGTGTGCTCCACCCATCTTTTCACCACGATTATCTAATTTATTTACTGCTCAATCCGGACTGCCTAGAACAGTGCTGGGTTAGGTACTCAATAAGCATTAATGGAATAAATGAGTGATCTAACTAATTAATTTCAGGTACAGAGAGGGCCTAGCACAAAGAGCCCCAGTGGCTAGAAGAGCAGAAGGTCTGTTAGGGACTTAATTAATTTTCTATTGCTGCTGTAACAAATGCTCATAAATATAGTATCTAAAAACAACTCCGATTTGATATTTCAGTTCTGTAGGCCATAGCCTGATCCAAGTCTCCAGGAGGGGCAAGGCCGCCTTCCTTTCTGGAGACTACGGGAGATCTGTTTCCTTGCCTTTGTGGCTTCTGGTTAAGTTCTTCTCACAGCACATCACCCTGACCTCCTCTTTTGCCTCCCTCTTCTACTTTTAAGGACCCTTGTAATTATATTAGACCCACCTGGAAAGCCTGGGCTACATGCAGCTATTTTAAGGTCAGCTGATTGGCAGCCAGTCAGCCTAATGGGTAGACTTTATCTGGGAGGCAGTGGGAAGTTGCTGAAGGCTTTGGAGCAGGAGAGTGAAGTGATGGAAATGAGTGAGAAGACTGTTGGAGATGAATATGGGCCTAGAGCAGGCAGTCGGAGGGAGACTTATGTTTACCTTCTTAAAGGCATTTGATCTCTTCCCTCTTCTGTGTACAGAAAGCTAGGGATGTATTTAGAAATTCCTCTAAAAAAAAAGTGCATTTGTGGTGTCTTTTTAAAAACCACTCTGTCACACATATGCACAGCAGGTACACATAGAGGCCCCAAAGCCCTGTTACATAGACACAAGTGCTCCCGTCTCCTCACACACACACCCCCTGCTTCCGCCTGAGAAAGAGTCTCAGGATTTCTTTTCTGTGGTTCCTAGTGTCCTGTCACTTTTTTTTTCTGCCCTGGCACACTTGAGTGATGTTTCTTCTCCCCAGAAACACAGGCTTGCTCTGGCAGTGGTTCTCATGGGGTGACTCCATAAGCCTTCTTCAGCAGGCACGTAAGAGTCTCCAGGGAGATGTATGGCATATGAGAAAGTCCTTCCTCCCTCACCCTTTCCTCATCCCCACACTGGCCCTGCTTTCATAGAAGTTCTAAGATGGTTCTTCAGCCTGACACCCACTGAAAGTCTCATGGTTATTTTGAAGTGTCTTATAGGAATGCTGACCCTCTGATTAGCCACTGCAAAGCAGCACTGTCCAGCAGGACTTTCTGCAGTGACATAATAAAGTGTTCCATATCTGGCTTGTTCAGTGTGCTAGCTACAGCCACAGGTGGCTATTAGGTTCTGGGAATGCAGCTGCTGCTGCTGCTGAAGAACCGGGTTTTTCATTGCTTGAATTAACTTGAATTGAAACAGCCACACCTGGCTGGTGGCCACCCTTTAGTGCAGCTCTAAAGCAGCGGGACTGGCTGGGCGTGCTGAGGAGGCCGGGGCAGTATCTGGGTGAGCAGAGTCTATTTGGCAACCATGTAGCCTTTTGAATCAAACAGACCTGTGTTGAAATTTTGGTTCCAAGCTAGTGATTTGCAGGTAAGTCACTTAAAGTGAGTCTCACTTTTGTCACCTACAAACTGGGTATGATCAGTGGTGTATTAGGGAGAAAGATGTTAGGTACTCTGACTTGAGGGGAAGAACATTTCACCTCTGAATTGTTGCACATGATAAACATCAGACCTACTTTTCATTGATTTTGTTATTTTTCAGTATTCTGTAGACAGTGTGCCCTGTCACTCCCTGACCCAGGGTAGACTTCTCCTACCCCCTGCCTGTGTTACCCCATGGGGTATAATCTTACATACATAAAAGAGCTATGCGAAGATAAATCAGGACAGTATCAGTAACGCCTTCAGCATTGTACACACGTGGTTTTCAGTCATTCAGCAAGTGCTGACTGAGCAGCTACGATGTGCCGGGCACTGGGCTAGATGCCAGAGATACATTGGCAAATGGGAAACAGAGGACCTGCTCACTAAATAGGAGGGCAGACATTTAATACATGGGAGTCATAATTTTATCTACTTTTGAATTTTTCACTGTTTTGGGATTTTGATTTTAGGTAGAAGTCAGAATTGGTTCACCTGGGTGTAGTCGTACTTTATACTTAGTAAGGTTCTATCTGTGGGTCTTCTAACATAATTATTTTATCCTATTCCCCTTTTATTTTAGTAAATACCAGCTTTATTGAGGTATAATTCACGTATGAAGAAATTCACCCAGTTAAACTATATAATTCAGTGGTTTTCAGTCTCTCGGCAGAGTTGTGCATCCAGCATGGTGTCAATTTTAGAACATTTTTATCACCCCAAAAAGAAACCCGTACCCATAGCACAGACTCTCCGGTTCCCTTCAATCCTCTTAGCTGTAGGCAACCAATAACCTACTGTGTCTCTCCAGATTTGTCTGTTGTGGGCAGGTCATATCCATGGAATCATACACGTGGTCTTTTGTGATTGGCTTTTCATTTAGCGTAATGTTTTCAAGGTTCATCCATCTGTAGCATGATCAGGACTTCATTATAGAATAATATTCTGTTGTATGGAAATACCACATTTTATTTATCAGTTGATAGACACGTGAGTTGTTTCCGTTTTTTGGCTACTATGAACAATACCACTATGAGTATTTGTGAACAAGATTTTGTTGAACATATGTTTTCATTTCTCTTGGGTAGATGCCTAGGAATAGGATCGTTTATGTGGTAACTCTGATTGGTAATATGGAAACTCAATGTTCAGCCATTTGGGGAATTCCAGAGTGTTTTCCAGAGCTATACCATTGCATTCTCGTGAGAAGCGTATGAGGGTTTCAGTTTCTCCACGGCTTCACCAACCTTTGCTGTTACCCGTTTTTATTCCAGCCGTCGTAGTGGATATCAAATAGTATCTCACTGTGGTTTTGCTTTATATTTCCCTGGTGATAAATGATGTCAAGCGTCTTTTTACGGGCTCATAGGCCCTTTGTGTGTCTCGGAGAGAGGTCTGTTCGGGCCCTTTGCCTGTTACTAACTGAGTTATTTGTCTTCCTTTTCTGGCCCCAACAGGATGCTGATATGCTGACTGGTGATGAGCGAGTATGGAAGGAAGTTCAGGAATCCCTGAAACACATTGAAGAACTGAAGGCACACTGGAGTATCCTCATCCGCGGCCTGGGTTGGGCTGTTGGGACTGTCTCCTTCCTGTCCTGAAGCCCTGTGGTAATCAGGCCGAAGGCCGGGTCTGGCCACTCCAGGAGCCAGTGCTTTCCATACTGTTTCATGGTCAGGCTGCACCCTGACCCGGCGAGCAGTTTGAGTAACGATAAAGAAGACTGGCAAGATCAGCGTGAATAATAACTCACTACCATTAGGTAACAATCAAAATTTGTGGCCCAGTGGGAGTAGGACAGTAAGTAGTAGCCTCTTTGTCTGTAAAAGGTAACAAATTCCTCAATTCTCTCCTCCCATAACCACCTACATCCCTAGGAAAGACTAGCCTAAAATCCTTATAATTCAGTGCCACTGACTGTCAGACTTAGAAGCTTCCTATTAAACCAGCCACGACTGCAGTGGCAATGGGGATTGCTGCACACATTTTCTCGGCGTGAATAGTCATGACCACAGGAGGCCAAAGTTCAGAGTAGCGAGAGTCACTTAGGAGGAGGGTCATCTGGGAAGGCTCCACTGACGTTTTACTGTGCAAAAGATAGCCTGAGTCAGGGGCAGGGTTCCAGTGGGCAGAGGCTGAGCGGAAGCCCCTCCTGGAGCAAAGCCGCTGAGGGAAACCGCAGGCAAGAAGGAGGAGATCAAAGTACATGAAAAGATTGCAAAACGGCACTCAGATGCCTGGGGTAGGTGATACCCAGGCACAGGGAGGTCTGCAGTTTTCTGATGATGCTATTGAAAAAGCTGAAAGGAACCAGAGAGGTACTTAGAGGGATGTTTCCATTTTTGAAGGTGAAGGACATGATTTCTGAATTGCTAGCCCACTGGATGTATTAGCAGTGTTAGTAATGAATCTAGGACTGGTTACTGAGGAATGGAGAGGAGAACTGTGATCCTCACGATGCTGTTGGCTCTTCCAGGAGCGAGTGAATCCACAGAGTCATGGCTTTGGTAAAGTTTGTGTCAGGATTTTAGGAAGGGGTTTGATGAAAAGTAATCAAGAAGTTTATGTTACATGTTAGCAAAGCTAACTGAATAGCTACAAGGAAAAATGATGCTGAATGATTCAGTGTCATTCTGGAGTGCCCTCTTTATTCATCATTCCATACCCTGAATGAAGAGAGAGAGGACAGGATTCTCAAATCTCCACAGTGACATTGATGGGGAGGATAATAGAGGGTGTCCGATAAGTCCGACCACCCCTTACTGCTCGTGTTCCCCCAGGGACGGCCGAATGAGTAGACCAGGCGAATTAGGCGTTCAGGCTTTATTGGGGAGGGCTCCGGGCGGACCGAACACCGGGGTAGAGAGTAGATCGGCTGCGCGCAGGCGATGGGAGACAGGCTTTTTATACTGTGGTAGAAGAGGCTGCAGTAATTTTCCACTGCCGTTGAGCAAGAGAAGGGATGTGCTCTTTCTCAGGCGGAGTTTCTTGCGGCTTACCAGCTATCTCCTAACAAAGGAGGGTTTTGAGGCCTGCCTCGATAAGGGAAGGAGGGGGATGGGGGCTTGCAACCAGCTCATATGGGAACTAGCTAAACATTAATGGTAGTACTTTTCCACTGTCGTTGGGGTTTTTCCAGTTGACTGTGGTAGGGGGAAGGGAAGGCCGGTCCTAACATTCCTCACTCTTTATTATGGGATTTGGGCATAGTTGTCTTTCTTAGCTTTTTCCTGCTGGTGTGGGGCGTCATGGGGAGGAGTCATAAAGAGTTAGGTTATGTTAATTTCGGCTTCTCCTGGGATGAGGGGTTGTAGGAGCATCTGGTTCACTGCAGTGCGGGTTAGTTCTTGGAAGCGGCGTTGAAGGAACTGTAAGAAACAAGGAGCAATTAGTAAAATTAATACAATTGCAATAACCGGGCCTAATAGAGGAGTTAAGAGGGTGTACATAGAGGAGGTCCACCAAGTGATGGCTTCAGTTGAGAATTTTTGTTTGCGTAAGTCTGTGCTGATCTTCTGTAGGTTTTCAATCCAGGTTTCTACTAGGCCGGATTCATTGATGTAGTAGCAGCATTCTTCTTGTAGGAAGATGCAGGTTCCTCCTTGCTCGGCGGTAAGGAGGTCTAATGCCTGGCGATTTTGTAGGGCGACCTGTGCCACTGAGGTGATCTGTCGTTGGAGAGAGGCTAAAGATTCTGCAGAATTGTCAATGGCGGCCTGAAACTGAGAAGTTAGACGTGCTAGAGCCTGATGGGAGTGGGCTAGGGCTCCCCCCCAGTCCAGCTGCTAGGGCTGATCCGGCGAGAGAGAGACCTAATGCTAGAGGTAAAAAGGCGGCCCGTTGTACACGATGATCTATAAATTGTTGTTGGAACTCTGCTGGGGAGTAAATAGTTAATCGGGGCATGAGGGTTACTGGTAAGCATAGGCTGGGGGAGTGTGTAGAGGGGTTGAGGGTTTTGAAAAGTGTTCTGTTGCACCATAAAAAGGTTCCATGAGGAGCGGTGAGATTGGTGGTTATGGGTATAGTTCGGTTGCAGGTGGCTGAGCTGTTCCCATAGCACCTGCTATTCGCTGGTTTGGGGGCAGGTAGACCTCGACATCTGCTATGGGAGTAGCCTGGGAAGGTGGTATAGAGGAGCTGGCGTGAGTGTTAGATGGGACTGCGACTGAAGGGGTCTGTCCTAGGGTGGCGCACATGAGGCATGAAGATAGGTTTGGTAGACTCGTTTGGTTGGCAAGCTGGTTAGTTATTTTTAGGCCTTCATTAAGGAGGGTTAGCCATGAGAAAGGCTGGGAGGATGGCTGAAGTTGTTGGGTTAGCGTTTGTTCTTGGGTGTGAATGGAGGAGCGAACTTTTTCAAGGTTAGGGGCTAGAGTTATTAAGGTTTTCCAGATATAGAGGTGGGAGGAGGGGTACCCAGTAGCTGGTAGGTCGTATACTGCCACTTTTTGGAGTGTGGTCCAGCGGGAGTTTGAACGGTCAGGGATTTGGGGAGAGAGATAGGGATAGCCGAGGGAGTTGGGAGTGCGGTGGTATTTTAGTTTGGAGTTCCTGTGTTGTCTACTGGGGAGACTTGGGTGGAGGGTGCAGCTAGACCAGGTGCATCCCATGCAATTTAGGTAGGATGATGTTTGCAGGAGCCCCCCTGATCATAGAGAACACAGAGGACAGGATTATAGTCACTGAAGACGTAAGAGGCCCGGTCTGTGTTGTAGAAGTTGGTGAAGTTTAGAAAGATGGGTGAGTTGCATCCTGTAGGGGGGCAGTCAAGAGTGGCGAGGAGGTGGTTGTGGCTGTAGGGAGGGGTGTTGCAAATGTGTGTAGTTTTGGTGTAATTTTCAGTTAGGTAGAATCTCCATATAAGAGGGGTACTGGAGGTGTTGTGGGGTTCTGGTAAGCTTAGGAGATAGAGGACCAGTAGAGGTAACATTCCAGGAGGGTTTGGGAGGCACATGGGGTGCTCTTTTTACCCTGGTTAGGTGTACCCACGAGGAGATTTCGGCGACTTTTACTGCCAAGGGGGTGGTAAGGATGACTGTGTATGGTCCTTCCCACTTAGGAGTCAGTGGCTTTGGGGAGAGTGATCTTATAAAGATTGAATCTCCTGGGGAGACTTTCTGTATAGAACCAGTGGCGGGGCTAGGTTGGGGTAAGGAAGCGTTAGCGTGTTCCCTGAGGAGCCCCCGGAGAAGGGTGAAATAGGGTAGATAATCTGATAGAGGAGGGGGGTTAGGAGGTGGAGGGGATGAGAGGAGAAAGGGTCGGCCGTATAGCAGCTCAAAAGGGCTGAGATGTGAGGGGCCCCGGGGGCTTGCTCGGAGCCTTGTTAAAGCGATAGGAAGTAGGGTAACCCAGGACTGGCGGAGTTCGAGGGCAAGTTTTGTTAGGTGTTCTTTGATGAGGCCATTGGCCCATTCTACTTTACCCGAGGATTGGGGATGGTAGGCCGCATGCAGTTTCCACTGGATCTCTAAGGATGTGGAAACTGCAGCGGTGATCTTAGAAACAAAGGCAGGTCCGTTGTCTGACTGGATGGTGGCAGGAAGGCCGAATCGGGGAATGATGTCCCGGACAAGGTGTTTGGCTACAACTCCTGTGGTTTCAGAAGCTGTGGGGAAAGCTTCAATCCAGCCTGAAAAGGTGTCAACCAGGGTTAGTAGGTATTTAAACTGTTTGTGTTTTGGCATATGTGTAAAATCAACTTGCCAATCTTGGGCTGGTAGGTGGCCGCGTAACTGGTGGAGCGAACAACGTGGGTGGCAGGCTCCCTGACTATTGGTCTTAGTGCAGGTTATGCAATTAGAGTGGATTTCTTTTATTGTGGAAAGGAGGCCCTGAGGATGGAAGAGAGGGGTGAGAAAGTGAAATAGGGCTTTTGGTCCTATACGTAAGGAGTTGTGAATGTCTGTGATAATCTGGTGTTGTTGGTCTTTGGGCAGAATTAGGAGGTTGTGTTTGAAGGCCCATCCGTCCCTGAACTGGATATGAGGGGAGGATAAAAGTTCAGATTTTTCGGTGGGAGAATACTGGGGGACATAGGCCTTAGAAAGGAAATAAATGGCGGTGGGGGGTGAGGCTTTCTGAGCCGTGGTTCTGGCTACTGAGTCTGCGAAGGTGTTGCCCCGAGCTACAGGAGTATTTGTGGACTGATGTCCTTTACAATGGATGATAGCTACTTGGGCTGGCATCTGGATGGCCTGGATAAGCTGAGAGATGAGCTTTCCATTGAGGACGGGGGTTCCCTTAGTGGTGAGGAAGCCTCGTTCTTTCCAAATCATGCAGTGAGAGTGGGCGATGAGAAAGGCATACTTAGAATCGGTGTAGATATTAACTTTTTTCCCAGTTGCCCAGGTAAGTGCTCGGGTGAGGGCAATTAATTCAGCTTGTTGAGAAGTAGTTCCTTGAGGTAAGGGTCGGGTCTCTATAATATCAGTGTCAGAGACGATTGCATAGTGGCTTTCCTGGGTCCAGGGGTCTTGAGAATAGAACTACCGTCAACGTAAAGGGTAACTGAGGCTGATGGTAAGGGTTGGTCAGTAAGG